GAAACAAAATTGCAATCCAGCTTTATTAGGAAGAGCTGTAGTGATGAGCAACACTTTAAAAACAGCGAAAATCGTTCATGCAAAAATTGCAGACGAGATTTGTCCAAAATATAATAATATTATTCTGTCTGTGAACCAACTCTATATAGCGACTATCAGCTAATTTGGTCCAACAGCGGTCATTGGAGGAGCCAAAATGTTGTGAAAAAAAAATATTCTGGCATCTCAAAAAACTGTATAATCGAGTTATAGGAGTTCTAAAACAGATGAAAAGCGCAATCAATGTAAATACATTACATAGCCAATGTTCAAAATTAAATTAGTATGAACTGCTAAATGGAATTCGATAAAATTTGGCTGTAAAAAGTTTTCCCTTGGTGGCCCGCTATATCAATTTTGTTTTTTGCATGGGTCAACCAATATACCTGTCGATCATAATGGCTGTACAAACCTCAGTGGTTTTTGGCTTCCTCAATGAGCTTCCGCCAAATTGCGGCCACTTTCCCGTCAACTAAAATATACAAGTAAGTAAAGAACAAAAACTTTTCCCACATTTTTCGCGATGATTTTTCCGTTTCGATCCTCAAGTTACTAGTCTAATATTCATTAAATCAGCCGCCATTATTAAAGATAGCATGAACCGACTGGCAGATTCTCTTTTATTAAAAATATTAATGCTATAAACAATAAAAAAAAAAGCTTTAAAAGTTTACATCAACTAATGTCGATTTTTCTCACGGGCTCTCGAACTTTGTACTCTTAGCAATATGAAACAGATGGAGGATGTAGTTGTGTTTTTTTATATTTCTCCTGCATTAAGAGAGTTTGGGGTAAAATGTTTTGCGAGAAGTAATTTAAATAAAAAAGAAATTGAGGAATATTTCAATATAAAGAGTTGGATTGCCCTAATCCGATATTCTACAGAACCTTGGATTTATAGGTTTCGGTTGATTCATGAATTTAATGGATAATAATACATGTAAGAATTACATATTAAATGTTCGAAGTTTTCATACAATATTTAGATTTAGATTTTATGATACATGCTTTGTTTTTTTTATGGGGTATGTATAATCTGTTATTTTTGCTATGTTAATTGACATTTTTAATATATTTTTGTTGTTGCATTTCTATATATTGTATTTACGTTTGTGATTTTAGTATTTAATTTGTATTCAATGTATTTATGATCAATGATGACTCGATTGGTGTTTGCTTGATTAATGTTTGGATATTGTCTGCTGTTGAACTTTCCTGTGATGGTATTTTACTAGATATATTATGCAAGCAGGAATATAAGTAATAAATCCTTTTGTTTTAATAAATGGATTATTATTATAATAATTATATACTATAATTATTCTCATCTTAAAAAGAACTTACAGCCCTTAAGTGAAGAACTAGAAAATGAGGAAGTGGCAGAGTTTTTCAGAGGATTATAAGCATGATTTAAATGAAAATCTTAAGCAGCTGTATTGGGACGAAGAGAAAAAAGTTAACAAGGTTTGAGCCGGTCCTTTGGCCGATCATCCACGGTCGGTCGATCAGACAATCTGCAAATGGGCTGCTTCATCGTATCCCGTTTAGGGAGCAGGAGGGAGGAAAGGGTAATGATTTTTATCAACGGGCCTTAAAATAGAAACTAATTCTAAACTTAGTTTAATCCCCCCCCTTCTACTTCAGTTTAAAGGAAAAGTATAGACTAAAAATGTATTTATAATATTTAACAGAAATAGGCGAATTGATTTTTTGAAATGATTCGGCTGGCGTTCTTTTCCTTTAAGCAGGAAAACACCAACAAATATTAATAAATTTATAAAATACTTGACACCTACTAATTTCCTTCTCGCTAATGCATTCGACATATAAGTAGTGATGTGCAAAATCGTTCTTTATAAGGGACTAGTCTCTTTAGTTCAGTTCACCTTATTGAACTATTTCATTGAACTTGTTCATTAGTTCACTTCGATTTCAGCGCTATCTAAATTAAAACATATGGTACTAGATCTAGTACCATCGTGTTACAGTAGTTGGCGAAAGTTGGTGGTGAACTATTACTGTCGCCATATACTGTAATACAAATGGTACAAAATATGTGAGATCATTTGCTACAATTTTAATTTATTTTCATTGATAACAATCTGCATATTTGACTTCTGATTGATTTTATGCAATAATATCTACTCATAAAATTTATAACTTATTAACAAATTTTTGGTGAATATTGAAATTTTAAAAACTTAAAGGAAGTAAACATTTCTGTCATCGTCCTATGACACATTATTAAATTATCAAAACCAGTCTGACCACGACTTATGAGATGAAAAAGACAATAACAACAACAATGCAAGTAATTAGTTGTTTTTAGTTAGAAGAATGATATGAAGCTCAAACCATTCTAAATTAAATTGAAACTATTCAACTAGAAAGAAAGGGAGAGGTTTCAATCTTCTGAATTAGCTAGTTCATCGAACTAGAGAATTCAAAAGAACTACAACTGGCGCCATCTAGATCTTGATCTAGACATTACTAGACCAGTGAGACCATCTACTACAATTTAAATATATTTTAAGTAGTAACAATCCGTATAATTAACTTTTGATCGATATTATTTAATAAAATTCATAATTAACTATCTATTTTAGGTGTATGGTTAGAATTTTGAAAACTAAAAGGAGCGAAACATTTATGTCTTCATCTTTTAAAATATTAATATTCAAAAATATTCTGTCCATGACTTCTGTTTTAGTATTTTAACTTACCTAATTTTAAATTCACTATAATCAAAAATTATTTTCAAGGTAATCAAATCCCTACTTCAGTATAAGGCCCACAGGCTATTGTGTTCTCTTTACATTTCCTAAAGAAAACACCTACAATTCCTCTAATTTTATTTTTGTGGTAGTTCACAAAGAACTATAGTTCAAAAAAATTAAACCTGTCCACACAGTTCCTTTTCGTGAACTAGTTTATTTGAACTAGTTCGTTCACGAACTACCCATCACTACGTATTAGCGACATCAGTGAAACATCATTATTCATATATACAATATGATATTATCAAGATAGTTTATTCAATACATAAAATTTTATTCACCATAATAAAGTTTATTCACCATGAGTAATAAACTAACAATTTATTAATAGTCCGAGGTGCAGACCTCTTTTAATCAAATTATTAACATCCGTCTTAAACTTAAAATCTCGCTATTCGGTTATGTTTTATACTTTCTTCAATATTTTAATTTTAATGAGAATTGTAAATATTTAATTTAATGTATGGCCACACAGGCATTTTTCTGTATCTATAATTTTTCCTAAAGGTACAACAGCCCCAGGATGATAAAAAAAAAATTCATTTTCATTTCATTTTTTTCATTTTCATATGTCCAAGGCAGAACGGCCTATCTTCTACCAGCCAACAGCCTCTTTGACTTCCTTTAATATTCTGACCGTCACAAATAGGATTCCTCGTAACATTCTTATTTTAGGTTCCGCAAACGAATCCTTTTTTACATATCTGTAAGCCCTGAAGATCCTCGTTTAGAGAAGCACACAGTACATAAAGTAGGTAGGAGAATGAAAAATCCTTAACAGACTTAGTTTTTTGGTAAGGAATGAAAATTAGCGAGCAGAAGATAAGAAAAAAAATTATATATATATATATATATATATATATATATATATATATATATATATATATATATACTGGGTGTCTCAATTAATAATGGTGAAACTATGAAAGGTGATTCTAGACAAAATTTCTAACAAAAAGTTCAATTGATGTATGGGCCGATTCTGAACGAAAAAGGAGTTAATACCAAGGAGTTTGCCATAACATAGTCACTGTATTTATTGAAAAAGAAAGAATAACTCAAAAATTGTTTAAGATGATTAAATTTTAAGTACACCATCGTAAAGTGGGGATTTTTTTTTTTTTTTTTTTTTTTTTTGGAGAAAACAGATGAAATTTACGAAGGTCGATAATTAAAGGAATTCGAGCTCTGTACTGCTGCAGTTGCAGTAGCCATACACGAGCAGTAATATCTTTACAGCGGCCGTATTTAAACCTGCTTTAAACCTGTTCTCTTTACGATAATGGACTTAAAAGTTAATTATCTTGAACAGTTTTTGCTACTTGAATACTTGACTACCTTAAGAAAAATAAAAAATTCGTCTTAACTCATTTTCTGTCTGGAATTGGCCCATGCATCAAAAGAAACCTTTTTGTTGGAAATTTTGACAAGAATCGCCTCCTCAGAGCTTGGCCATTAAGAACTGAGAAATGAAGAAATTTGTTTAACATAAACTTTCCTTTATGAATATGCGTTACTTTAATATCTTATCTTCAACTATTCAAAAGCTAGAACAGTTGTAAACTCCGAAACTATGCAGACAAACTTATTTTTCGTTATTAAATAGCTATAAATCATTATATAAGGCAATATACATATAGGTGTATATCATATAAGCCAATGAACACATATATAAGTTGCCTTATATATTGATTAATAGCTGTGTAATAACTGAAGTTACGAAAAGTAACTGTTTCTGCATATTGTCGAAGTTTAAACGTAAACTTACAATTACCCTTGCAATTGTCCTACACCACTAGCGGATTGAGTATTTAATTTCGGAGAGAGAGGTTTCAGTCCAAAACCTTTTTTTTTCATGTATATAACAATAATTATTTTGGAAGAAAAGAAAGATACTAACTACCTACATGAAATGGTGTTGAAGTGATTCTTGAAGTCCTATAAAATGTAATTACACGTACAATAATGCCTTATTGTAATAATGCTGAAGCCCCAAAGCCCCCCTCTCCTTCCGTAGATTCGCCTGTGCCCTACACCTTCATTGACACAGGCTTTCGGACTATAAGAATGATAAAGTTTTTGCTTTAACACGCTCGGACAACGCGGCCTCAATACCAGGATCTTATTTAACCAAATCAAATTCTCCTATCCTTACACCTTTAACGAATGATTTTACTGTTGCAGGACGCCCTCATCAAAAGACTTGGTCCTAACGCCCACCCGTTCACGATGGATGTCACCCACCTAGCACCGCCGAGTGTACAGCTGGTACCTGCCAAAGAGTACTCCGGAGCACCGATAGGAACGAGCTATGACGTCAGGGCTTACGCTGGTAAGTACGGAGGAGTTATGGAGTGAATTCAAACAAAGACACTCGATTTTAATTTCTCTACAAAACTTTAATCTCAATGCCATTCTTGTACATCTCCAGATATACATTTAATGGAAGTAGATGGTCCGGGGTGAGGGTCATAAATAGACTAAATAGAGGCAAAACTGTTTTATTAAAAGCCAACGTTTCGACCCCACTTTGCTGGTCTTCTTCAGGGCTAAACAGACAAGATACGAAAAGATATAGAGAATTGTGGAAGTTACATAATATTTAGGCAACAAATTATAAACAATGAGAATAAGCTTGTTAAAATTATAAACAGTTAGTACATTAAAATATAAACAGAGTAAGCTAAGTAACAAGATCCTAAACGGAAGTAAATAGTCTAGTTCTTCGGAACTATCACTATCGGTGTTAAGCCCAAAAACGTATTATTTTCAAGATAAAGGGTTCGCATCCACACAACCTTACGTTAATTGTAGTACTGTCATTGAATACATCGACTTGAGGCCTCTATTATAGTGAGAGGAGTTTATATTATTTATCGAAGGCGTTTTTTGTCGGTAAGCCACATCATCGTTAATTCTTCACCAAGTTCCAAGATTGAACCACCAATTTTTAAGGCTTCATTCTCCTTCAGACGGGACCTTCTCACGCAATAAACTTAATTATTATGTGTTGCGCAACTGACACAGGAAACTATTTCTTATCCATATTTTAGGTAATCTGTTTACTCACTTTTATCACTTGGTTAACCGTCTGATTAACATTCATGTCTAAATTCGGATGACTCTCCTATGATAGTAAAGACTTATTATCCGGATCCTATAAATAGTCATAATGAAAATCACATGAAAAATAATAAATTATTACTAGCGTGAACTAGTACTCCTAATTCTCAACGTACAAGTTGGCGAGAATTACATTTTTTAATTAAATCGCAAAACCGAAGGGAAACGTGATGTCACTGGAAAATTGAAATGTCAGAGAAACTGGGCCCTTCTCAATTTCACAAAGGTTAATTGGACAAAGCTAAAATAAAACTAAACAACAAAGTAAATTAAAAGATTTACATACGCTCCGCTTACTCTGTAATGAATTACTGTGCAATGAATGAAAGGAAAAACCATGTAATGTTATGAAAATAGGAGAATGAACATACTATGAAGAATGAACTAAAAATACTACGAGAAAATCCGAGAAAGGCTCTTCAGAAAAATACATAATAATAATTAATAATTAAGTAAAATACTAATTCTTATAGTTTGAAGCAAAATTGTATCAAAGTATCTCGACTCAAAGTGCTTTGAAACACACATCCATTGAAAAGGGCTCATAGAAATTTCTTTCCCGATAGAGTTTTACAAAATGGTCATTTAATATGCCATTTTCTTCCCTCCTCACCTTCCTGAACCCCGTTTTCGAATCAAAAGTATCTTGGACAGAAATTACCAGGGGCACGTTAATTATGCTACCTAATATATGCTCATAAATTAATAGAACACTGACGTAATAGATGTTAAAAAAATTAAACTTTAATGTTCTGCATTAAATATTTTGACACGATATTTACGATCGTCTAAAATATGCTTATTGAATCTAGCAGGCGGTAATGCTCTTCAACCTTACGTGACCAACACAGATAGCAATCGTACTTGATTCTTCAACAACAGGCATCGATTGCTTTTCTAGTTAAGGCCACCGATTCAAACGAACTTTGATTCTACTCACCCAGGACCTATACAGTGATATAGTTTAAGCAAAAATGCTGAAAATTAATACATAATGGTTTATTATTTCCAAATAGTTATATATCAAATGTCACAATTTTTTTTTCTTGTTGGCCACAACTACACAACAGCTCATTAATGAAATAATAAATCTAAAACACTTCCTAATTTATAATAAATCGAATGTAAAACTAATAGAGTAATAAACGCAATTTCTAATTAAGATTAAGAAAAGCATGTATAATTTTTATTCAATGATTTGATAGACTTTTACCACATTTAAAATGTTCTGAAAAAGACAAAATAAAAACAAAAAGTATTGAAAACATCAAAGTACTCAGACTCCTTTTTTGTCACATTATTAATATACGTCTACAAATTCGTGAATAGCTTTTCTCTTAACCTACAACTTTTGTATTTACAAAAAATCTCAAAAATGGTGCGTTTTTAATCTGAAGATCGTTAAACTTTTTCAATGTAATGAGGTAATAAAAAGTCATTCCTTTTCACTCGAATCTTAAGAAAATCTGATTGAAAGATCTAGGTAAAGGGTGGCCTAAAAAAATATCAGACCCTTTGGCGTGACCTCCACCTCCAACATGTGAAAATAACGAGGTTATGTAGTAGTCCGTGGTACAGACACCTTTTTATCAAATTATTAACATCCGCCTGAAACTTCAAGCTTCAACTCACCATAACTTATGAATATTTTATTTACGAAAATTCTCGGAATTAGGGCGTTTTTAATACGGAGGTCGGCAAACTTTCTACAATGATACTTCAAAAATATTGAACGGTTTGGCCTATATAACCTCGTTATTTTGACGATTTGGGGATGTAAGTCATGCCAAACGGCTCAATATTTTTGAAGGCCACCCTTTTTCTCGACTTTGTGCTCAAGTTATCTTACGATTAAAGTGGAAAGCAAATGGGTATTTACGAGTTATTAACTAATTAAATAGACAAAGTTTGCTGATTTCCGTATTGAAAACGGCCCAATTCGAAAATTTTCGTAATTAAAATAACTGCAGGTTACGATGAGATGAAGCTATTTACGAAGTTTCAGCCCGATGTTAATAATTTCATAAAAAGGGGTCTGTAAGCCACATTTTTTTGTCGATTTCATGATGAAATTATCTTACGATTCAAGTAAAAAGCAAATAGGTATTCATGAGTTATTAGTACTTCATCAAATCAATTAATTTAATGAGTAAACGCCCCATATATGAGAATTAAGATAAGATGAGATGAAAGCATTCAACAAGTTTTAGAAAGGTGTTAATAATTCGTTAAAAAACACGTCTGTATAACGGACTAATAAGTTACGTTCAACCAAACACACAGCAAAATCGAGTTAGCTCTTATTTTCCTATAAATATTTTTTAATCATGAAAGAAACACAGGCTCGTTTCGTTTCTCAGAAAGTGAGGGTTCTTTGAAGCAGGGGTTAATCAATATGGCGAAACCTCATTCCTTCGACCCCAAACTTCTTGTCGCACTTCGAAATTAAAAATGATACATTTATAAGAAAATAAATAAACAGGATTGTAAATTATAATTAAAAGTATCACATTATAAATGAAAAATTCAAACTGTTCAAAATTCAAAACAAAAAGCGATGAGTCTTTAACATACAATTAAACTGCCAACGTTTCACCAATTCAGGAAAAAAAAACAAACATATGTAGACAGAAAAAAAATGATGAAAATCAGAAAACAAAATGTTGATACTGATATTTCAATATGCCATCCAAACACTGAAGAAAACATGTACCATAGAGATTGATTGCACAGCAAACGAAGGTTTTATTAAACATTTTATTAGTAGGGACAAAAGGAAACAAAAATTGCCATATCTAAAATACAATAATAAAAAATGTTAGTTAAATTTTAAATTAACAAAAAAGAAATTAAAAAATACAGAAGAAAAAGCTTGAAGGTGTTTATAAATCCATACCTAACAAAATTTGTTTCTTTTTATTTTCACTTACCTATATGTATATATAATATATAGTTAAGGTAAGTATTGCGATCGTGAAAATTTTTTTGTCTGACTTTTCAACGTAAATACACGTTTTGAGGTATCCTGAGTCCAAATAACCAAGTCCAGAAAAGTGGTCTGTGTGTCTGTGGTAAGCACTAGCGGATCCAGGATTTAATTTTGGGAGGCTTCAGTCCGAAAACTTTTTTTTCCGTATATATATATATATATATATATATATATATATATATATGATACTTAATTTTTAAAAAATAAATATTAACTACCTAGATGAAATGGTGTTTAAGTAATTCTTGAAGTCCTAGTAAATTTAATTAAACAAACAAGAATACTTTACGAGATAGTTTTTAATACTTTTTTTTCAGTAAAACATGGTTATATTTTACCATTTTAAGGGATGCTTCAGCCCGAAATTCCTCCCTCCCATAGATCCGCCTGTAGTGGTAAGTGTAGCTCAAAAAGGAAAAATCGTACGAAACTGATATTACGTATTTAAGATAGATATATGCTTTGGACGTGACAGCAACTTTTTCGTTAAAATCGATTAACCGGAAGTGGCACTTAAAATCAATGGTTATAACCTATAAATTTGTATATATAACGGTACTTAAACAAATAAAAATACCCACATATATAAATAAATATATCGTCTATAATTATTACTTTCACTTATCTGAAAATACTTTTGTCTGATAAGAGGAGGGTGGTAGGTTAAAGTTGTGTGATGACCGCGCCAGATTTTTATCGTAATCAATCACTGTATGTCTCTTACCGAGTTTTACGCTTATTTTAGTCAACAGTATTAAACTAGTTTTTATAAAATCATTTAACTAGATTCAGACGATGGTAAAACAAAGAACATTACTGATTCTAAAATCATTACGGAAAATTAAGTTGACAATTTCGAAGCAGTTCTGAGAGGAGCTAATTGCTGGGGGAGGAATCGGTAATAAAATTATGGCACGCATGAAGCAGGAAGCCTCCCTCCACTAAATGTTTTATCAGCCACCACAGTGCTCCGTCAATACGCTCCATATTCAGACACCTTCATGTCTGGCACACATAGTATTAATAAAGTAAAAAACAGAAATTACCTATTAACGATATGTTTTATTAACCACAACTAATATGATTATTATCCAGGATAAGGCAACCAGGGGTGCACATCCCCCCCCAAAAAATCAATAGCGCATGAATCTTCCCCTTCCCTTCTCAAGGTATTTTGTTGCTCCCCTCTTCTTAAAAACAGTAGAAACAAAAGTACCATA